GTCGGACTATGAGCAATGAAGAAGGACATTTGTCAGCCAATAAAAAGGCATACAGGTAGCAAATAGATAAGTCAATTGAAATCTTCCTTATAGTATATTTTACCTTTACACAAATTTCAAGATGTTCTACATATTTTGATTTTCTGAGGGGTTTTTCATCTTGTTAATAGGTGTATAAATCACTGGTTAATATATGTTAATACCAGGTAAATACTATGTCAATACTATGCAATATCTACTTGTTAATTATGTAGGTAATATATGTCAATACTTATTTATTTATTTATTTATTTACGGGCAAGACCCATTAAAAAAAAAAAACAACAAGAAACATTAAGTACCTTACAACTAAATAAACATAGGCCAGTAATACTTGGCGTAGTGACAGGATAAAAATACATATAAATTATTAACAGTAAAACATTAAATCAGTTATAGGTATAAGAAAATAGAGGACAAACATAAATAATGACTGATCAAGATGACTAGAAATTCTTAGCTATCGAACTTGGCATCACAAACAAACAAGGAGAATTACATTAGAGAGTTAAGCTCTCTTTTAAAGCTATTTATGGGTCCAAAAAAATCCAGGCTACCATGGGTGTTACCTAATCGAGAAGTTCTGGAGATGAATGTATTGAAACCATAGTTTGTACGGTGATTTCTTTCTGAGAAGGTTATGGCAGAGCGGGTGTCCCTTGCTGGGACGTGAAGCCCTATTCTGGACAGTAGGTATGCGGAATCACTAATGGAGTTCAGTACCTTGTAAAAAGTATATAAATCTCTTTGATTGCGTCTAGCTGCCAAGGGTTGTAGATTGAAGCGTCTGTATAGGTCGTCATAGTCATACACATAGTTCTCAGGCGAAGGAATACCTGCCTTGAAGGCTAAATAACGTACGAATTTGCGCTGCACTAGCTCTAGGGCTCTGATATGATTAGAATACATTGGTGACCAGACAGAGGAGCAGTACTCCATCAGGGGCCTCACCATTGAGCAATAAAGGTATCTGATAGAATCTATGCTTGTAAAATCTCTCGAACACCTCTTAATGAAGCCTACAAGTTTTAACGACCTTGTTGTGATGTCTGAAATATGGGTGATAAAATTGAGACTGCTGTCAAAAATGACACCAAGATCTCGTTGTTGTGAGACAGTTTCAAGCGGAATGTTGTTTATATGGTACGCGAATTGTGGAGGGCTACGACCCTTGGAGAAAACAATGGCTTTGCATTTGGAAGCATTGAGCTCCATGCCGCTCAAAGCGCACCACTCAGAGAGTCTGTCGAGGTCAGATTGTAGTCTGGCACAGTCTTCAATAGAAGAGACCCGGGTGAACACCTTTAAATCATCCGCAAAGCACAGGAACTCACTGTTAATAAAACAAGACTTGATATCGTTAATAAAAACGTTGAACAGCAGAGGTCCCAAGTGAGAACCCTGTGGAACGCCCGATGGGATGTCAATTTCGTGTGAGAAGAAGTTGTTAACTTTGATTATTTGAGTTCTCTCCCCAAGATAGTCGCTAATCCACTTCAACAAAGTACCGGAGATTCCAGCACTTTCAAGCTTAGCAAGCAGAACGGCATGGTTGACACGGTCAAAGGCCTTTGCAAAATCGGTATATATGGAGTGAACTGATTCGCCATCCTCAAGAATTCTTGAAACTTTGTCCTGGTAGGACAGGAGATTGGTTTCAGTTGAGCATTTTGGACGGAAACCGGTCTGCTGCTCAATTAGACAGGGATTGATTTTTGGAGTTAAAAACTTTGTCACTATGCTCTCAAATACCTTTGGGAAGGTGTTTTGGATGATAATGGGTCTGTATTTTGAAATATCCATTTTATCGCCAGATTTATGAATGGGTATGGTGAAGCTCTGCTTCCAGAGTTTAGGAAATTCACCCAAACTGAGTGACTTGTTGAAAAGAATGAAAAGTGGACGGGATAATACAAAGCTACAATTCTTTATCATAAGAGGTGGGACACCGTCTGGACCTGGACCCTTAAAAGACTGCAGGCTACATAGTTCTTCATAAATAACTGATATTGAGATGTTAAATTCATGAATATGTGCATCGCTCCGAGAGATGTCCTGACTAGCAACACAGATTTTGTTGGAATAAACAGAATGGAAGTATTCAGCAAAGAGATTAGCTATCTCTGAACCATTTTTGGCAATGTTGCTATTATAAAACATGTGAGACGGCAAACCATTCGCTTTTCGCTTGGCATTGATAAAACTCCAGAAGTGTTTGAGGTTGTGATCATTCAGCAGTGACATTTCAGAGCGCTGCACATAATTCAGATAGGAGTCCTTTGAAAGAGTCTTACACCGAGTGCGAAGATTCGAGAAGTTGTCATAGTCACTAGGAGAGTCAGTCCGCTTCCAGGTTCTGTGTGCTTCTTTCTTCTTGATTATGAGTTCCTTTAGGTCGAAGGGGAACCATTTAGGAAATTTATGGGTGGAAAGCTTTTTCTTTGGTACAAAGCAGTCAATAGCAGTGTAAAGAATGTCATAAAAAATACTGACCATTTCTGCTACAGTTGGGCCTTGGAGTAAAGCATCCCAGTTGATCATACTTAGATGATCATTGAGAAGTGCATACTCGGCAGATTTAAAATCATAGTAGTACTCATCAGGTTGCGGGTAGTCTGAGTTACACTGCTGGGTCTCGGCACATAATATGTTTAATATTAATGCAGGGTGATATGAATCAATAGGGAGAAGGATGTCATCTGCCAAGGTGCAGGTGTCATCAGGATCCTGACTAAACATCAGGTCTAACAGAGAGCCATGCGCATTGTGGAACTTGTTTATTTGAAACATGTTATGGTAAGCACTCATGTTGGATAGGTACTCAGTAGCTGCGCGCTCTGAGGGAATAGCGGAGGGGGTTGCAGTAGCACTTGAGCTCAGGCCGTCATCAACCCATTGTGCTTTGGGTAAGTTAAAATCCCCAAATATGCAGAGCTTGTAATCAGGAAATGTTTCAGATAAAGTATCTACTGAGTCTGAAAAACACTTATAATTATCTCCATTAGATTTCGGAGGTAGGTATACAGCTCCAAGCAATAGTTTACTATTAGCAGACTGCACTCTTACAAATAACTGCTCAATGGTTGAGGCTGATTCACAAATGGAACTGAGAATGTTATTCCGGACAGCTATTAATACACCTCCCCCCCTTAAGGATGTGCTTGTTGCTGGAGTTCGGTCACTTCTGTAAATATTGTAATTGTCCATGCCCAGTTCTACATCAAGAAAGTTATCACTCAACCACGTTTCTGTAAAAACGAGTACTTGGTATGCAACTAAAGGAATGGAACTGATTAGTTTTACCAATTTAGTACGCAAACCACGCACGTTCTGATAGTAGACTGATACAGAACTATTTAGTTTGCAAATACCTCCTGATTGACGGCTAGATTCTGAAAATTCTGGGACGAATGAAAATCAGCACCAGGGTCATTTTTTGATGTGTCAAGTTTTTTCTTGAAGTTGAATCTACGAAAGATCACACCACTAGGCCAGAATTCGCAGGAGTTCATAGCATTGTAGTGAATGGGAATGACACCAATTTTGAAAGAATTGGTTTTCCCTATAGTTTTAAGCTGATCAATAATTAAGTTTTCCTCACTAATATTTGGCAGTTTTTGAGTTATGTACCTGCGAATTTTAGCAGCTTCCACTGACTGGGCCACCTTTCCGACGTAAAACCACATCTTGTTTCCTTTTGAAGATATAAATTCTTGATTTATTTCAACCTTTGAGGTACCACGAAACTGTTTCCTTCTACCACGATGGTAACTAACTGTAGAAAAACCATCGTTGTCTCCAGCATGATTCATATTGCTTATAATTGCATTATTAATTGCCTGATTCGCGTTTGTCAGCGAAACAGTTTCAACAATTTTACTACTATGGCCATTGTTTACATTGTCGTTAGAGGTTAAGGTCTCGCCCCGGGTCCCGGCGCAAGTGTCACCAGTCTTGTTCGGGTTTGGAGTCACCGAACGCTCTTGGGTTACACCAGGGCCAGAGGTCGAGTAAGTAGAACTGGTAGAACGCCCGCCTGCAGGATCGCGGCTTACAGTTACACTTTGGCTTTGTTTACGTTCTTTTTCTAGGTTAGAGATACGTTCCACCAAAAGACGGTTATTTTCCTTCAAAACTGTGTTCTTATCGGCCATTTCATCGATAAGCCTTTTTAGTAGACTCATTTCAGTATTTAATTTGTCGTTTTCATATTTTAGTTTTGAGGAAACATCTTTGTTTACATCTGATAAGTCAACTTTTGGCGGCAAATCACTGCAATCACAGCACTGGACACCGGACTTGCTGATAAACTTTAAGTTTTTCCTTCTTGCACAGCTACCATGGTAAACTTCTTCACACACAACACAAAAATAGGACTTGCACGACTTTTTAGCACAACATTTGTATTTTCTAACACTATCTTTGGCACTAATAACGCTATTTACGCTAGCCGAATCTGACTCAATGTCATCATCGGACGCCATCTTATGTTATCAGTAAATATCTAGGCAATATAATGTTAATGTCATTGGGTGATATCCATTAATAACATGTATATGTCAATACCTAGAATTCTGGCAAGACAAATATTTGATTTTAGTCTGTCAATAGCATGGCAACATCTGGTAATATGTGATAATAGTAAAGAAATACCTGGTAATATGTGGAAATATTTTGTTAATATATGGCAATAACTTGTTATTAGGTACATAGAAATATCTGTTAATACATGTTAGTAGTGTTAATCAGTATACAATTTTTGTTAGGTGAAAAATCCCTCGTTCACGCATAAAACGTAAAATTGTCGACGCAATGTCAAGAAAAAGTGAATTTCGCTGTTATGAGTACTAGACTTAAGACCTTTAAACATATACTGAAGCAAATAGATGGCAGACAAGCAGTGATCAAAAAGCAATAAAATGTCAAATAAAAGCCAACACCACAATAATAGCAATTCCTACCTGTAATTCCCCTTTTTCGGCAAATAATCCTTGAAATGCCTCAAGGTGATCTGAGTACCGGGTATTTTCGTCCTATAAGGAAACTGTTCGTCACAGAACGAAAATACCACCGTAGTCAACTCGTCAGCCGATTGGGAAGTAGGCAACGATGGCCTGGGACCCCTTTGCGATTTCCTCAACGTTGATTGGCTGCTTTGAGTCAAATCCGGATAATGACGACTTGAAGTTGACCTGAAAAAATTCAATATATAAGAAAAATATTTTTGAAGTATATACAAACAAATTTACCGTTGCTTTGTTCTAGTCCTAACATCATCTTCGAGCAATCTTCTTCTAGCCTCTTCTAGCTGATTCAAAGTACTATTGGTGGCTTTTGGTTCTAAATTAGTACCAGAAACGCTGCTACGTTCTACACTACTTGATCTAGAACCAAAACCTTTCTTGTGCCTATTTGAAATAGGTGAAGTAGCACTGCTTGTACGATAGCTGCGTTGCTTGGCAAAACTATCGTTATGATTGGACATAAGCCATGCAGTAACTCTACTATCTTTGACTTGAGCAGCTACAGGCGGGGCGTCAGACACTACAGACACACCACTATCTGTCAATTCGGCTTTTTTGGAAGACCTACGGCCTACACTATTGCGGACAAATCTATCATCTGGATATTCTGGTATGCTTTTCGATTTAACCATAGCGAATTTGTGCTCGGAGCCTTCGGCAAAATCATGTACGTTGCCCGAATCACTGCTGAATATCGAACCGTCTTTGCGCCGTCTGGAAATGTGGCGGTTTTTGTGCGGCGAAGTCACCCCTGGCGATCTGGCTGGTGTGTCCGGAAATACTAATGATACATGATCATCTAAAATTGATTGGTCGTTTTCGTCGTCCAATAAAATAGTAGACGGTAGTGATTCGCCTTCTTTTAGTTTTCTGTCCAATAGCTCTTTGGAGTCTTGGTGTTTTTTGACAGCTTCTAGTTTGCCTATTAGTATTGAGGCGAATTTGTCGGGATCCATGGGTTGGCATTGGGTTTTGTCTACTCTTTGTGTGCGAGGGATGACAATTTGATTCATGTGCACTTCACGGTTTAGGGCTGTTTGACGTCTGGTTGTTCTACCCAAGGATCTACCATCACTAGACAAATGGGAAATTATTTTTTAAAAAAATACAGCATTTGTGTATTTGAAACGTGCATAGTATGAGAGACATGCTAATACTGTACCTGACAATAATGAGGTTAGAATTAGGTTGAAACAACAAGTTTTTTTTTTTTTTTTTGTACTGCTGAGTAAAATTACTCTTTTTAATATACTAATGAGAAAAATGATCCTACCACAAGGTTTACAAAAACAGGAAAAATTCATATGACAGCTTTTTTATACTACAATGCTCCTTTCTCAGTTGAACAAGCCCTTACCAATAGAGTAAACATGAGTAGAGTGGCCAAACTGTTGCTTCACAGAAGTACCAACAAAAAAAAAAAAAAAATACTTACACTGAACTGTCAGTCAGAGACAAATTGTCCGACTCGGTCCGGGCATCAGAGTGACTACTGAGACTGTGCAGCTCGCTGTCCTGTCTCGAGACAGGGTTATAGGAATTGTAGGCAGCGTGCGCGCCATGGCGATAAACAAACATACTATTTTTCAAAGCGCAAAAAAAAAAAGAAAAATCAGCTATATTTTATGCATTTTAGGAGCTTGGTTCAACAACAATTAATTGAATCATGACTATTGAGACTTGAGAGTTTCTGGAGTTTGACGTTATTGGCTTCAGAGTTTAATGATTTCAATGGCTACAAGATGCAATCTTATTTAAACTGAAGAGTGTTGGTGGGACCTTGACTCTAGGGTCTTTAGAAGTTTGGCAGAAAAAGACATAAATACACTCAAGTGCGTACTAACCCTTCCAATAGAAATTAGAATTCGCTATTAATAAGCTTTGGAAATATCTATTTGCCATGCTGATATTACAAATGTCTCGTTTGGGCGCCAAATTCAAACTTCGAAATTTTACAAGGCCTACTTTGTCACATCAAATTGTCGTCTTGCTACACCGACATCGATTTACAGCATTGCCAACTTCAAGGAATGTTGTTTTTATTACAAGCTCTTGAATTTTCCTTATTTGGAGAAAGGACCCCACAGTATTTAGACGGAAATTGGTTACCCGTGATATTTGAATGAAATTTAAATATGTTATCAAAAATGCCGTAAACAACATTTTTTACCATGGGCGCAACCTTGAGGATTCAAGAGCTAGGAATAGACAAAAATTGAGACAAACCAATTGAGAAATACCCCGATGGCACAAACATATTGCAGGAATATTCATGGCATATTTCATGGGAATATAAAGATATCCGATGTATATGCCATGAAAATCTTTTCATGTGACAGGAATATCCAAGGCATATGCTTAAGTCACCAGTAATGGGGGCACCTGAGCCTGAGGAAGGACCCCGCAAATATTTAATTGGAAATTGGTTACTCGTGATATTTGGAGTGGCAACCTTGTATACCTATATGACAGGTGAGGCAGTATCGGCTGGCAAATATTGGAATTTCATATTTCAAAAGCAGGGTACCTATGGCAGATTTTGATGAAGCAAGATTCCTATTAAGTCGAACAAGGTATATCGAAAAATGTCAATCATTTTGACATTTGTCAAAACTCTGCCAAACAGCAGCACTCATATTTTTCAGTTTTCAACATTTTACGATCTGTCATTTGACAGTTTTAGTCTATGTCAATTCTGAGTTGAAAACTTGGAAAAAAAATGACAGAACTGTCAAAAACTGTCATTCATTTTAGTAGGTAAAAAGATTCATGACTGGTTCTTTTTTGTTTTAAGGTAGTTTATTGGTAATAAAACATTAAGCAAAGCTCATAGACATCAAATTTTGACAGTTGTCAAAATCTGAAACCTGTGTATGTTTGTTTATGCTTCATAATAAATAAGCATAATCTAAATAATTGGAACAAAACTATAGTTCAGTTTTTTTTTCTTCAATTAAAGCTAATGTCAGATTCTGATAGCTGTCAAAATTTGATGTAAACTTTGGAAATATCTATTGCATGTCAGTGTTACAGGTGTCTAGTTTGGACGGCAAATTCAAACTTTGAAATTTTCCAAGGCCTACTTGTCTTGTTACACCGACGCCGATTTACAGCGTTGCCAACTTCAAGAAATGTTGTTTTCATTACAGGGCTCTTGAATTTTTTTTGAAGTTTGAAGAACCTTACTTGACTTGCAAATAACTTCGAGGGTGGTTTAAGGGGGTAAAACGCGATTACGATTTATCGAAAAAAGGGTTTTTTTGTGAAAATTTGGACACTTCCATTATTTCCTAGATATGATTTCTGATATGAATATTGTCAAAAATCTGACACAACATTAGTCAAAGGACCCCGCACACTTTTTATAGAATTTTGGGATTCGGTCAATTTTTCTGAAAATGTGATATGATGCTCCTCTTAACATTCTGATTGAAAGTGTTCATAGCCACAACTTGATCTTATGACTAGTTTTCGAGATACAGAGAGTTTAATGTCCAAGGAATGCGCACATTTTATATGCATTTACATCTACCTGTCACCTAATAATATACCAGGATTGACAGGTATATCTATGCTCAGGTGACAGGTAGACGTAAATTAGGGTGACCATATTTTTTTTGTATGAATGCTGTACATATCAACACGAGCCCGAAGGGCCGGAGTTATGTAAATGCATATAAAATGTGTGCATTTCTTGACATGCTAATCATAGGATCAAGTTATGGCTATGAACACTTTTAATCAAAATGTTGAGAGGAGCAACATATTAAATTTTCAGAAAAATTAACCGAATCCCAAAATCTTCTGGTAATAATTTCAATTATTGAGGTGTAAGTCCCAAAAAATTCAAACTAATATTATAAATCCACCTCAAACATACAGACATTTTTTGTCTGAATATTCGATTGAAATTTGTATTAAAAATGAAATTTCAATATTATGCCTTGTCTTTTTAGACTGTGAGTATCAAGACTTGAAAATCTAAAGTTACAATTTAGAACTAAAAGAATTTGAAGCTAACATTTTCAATTTCAAACTTCATAATTTGAGAAATCATAAAGTCTAACAAATAACAATTGTTGTTGAAACAAGCCCATATCAATATCATGCAACTAAATTTTAAAAAGCCTAAATTTGACAATAATACTTTTGACTTACCTGGCAAAAGTTTCAGACTTGGACCTGTCCACAGCCCTGCGACTTTGCGACATCAACAAAATGTCTTTGGTAAGTCGCACCGAGGCACCTGGCGTGTGGTACCCCGGAAGCACAGGCGGGTTCATAATCAGCTCTGAGTCTTCGTGCAAAGTTGGCAAGGGATCCAAAGCGCTGGCCAGATTTAAAATTTCGTTGCTACTGCTAAAATCGCTACTGTTGCTACCGCTGCTACTAGTGGAACTTTGCGCATTCTAAAAATTTCATCAGAATTATGATTATAATTGATTGGTTTTTAATTATTCTTATTACCTCAACAAATTGCAGGTACATGTCGCTTTTGAGGAAGTTCGGATAAGTAGTAGTGACAATCAAATGTTCGATTTGAGCTTGTACTCTGTCAAAGAGCGTTACTGGAGGTTCAAGGCACTGGGAAGACTTAACTATTTGTCCGATTTCTTTACGCACCTCGTCGGCTACTGGAAGTACGGATTTTACGAAAAATTTCCTGCAAAAATCAACAACTCATTAATCAATCATCTACTAATAATAATAATTATTGACTTACTTATAAATCAACTTAACTAGCTGCATGATTTTGTCCAATCCTTGCTGCTTACGCAATCCCTGGCAAGCAAACCAAAAATCTAAAGCATCAGCGTGCTGCTTGCCTTCAGATTCCAAATACTGTCTAAACAATTTGACACCTTCGACATCTTGCAGTAAGGCGTGCAGGGATTGAGCCCACCGCAAACAGGCGGGGGGCGATCGGGTGCCCAAAGGAAGCTCCAAAGTTCTCTTCTTGGGTACAGGCGAGTTTGGTATGGCAAATTTGACTTCTGCCGGGCCCCAATCGGACAAAAAGTGGCTCTTTTCCTCGCCTGGTACCGGCGGGCGGGGCGAGTTGTGATCGAAAGCGCCCCCATGATTGATTTGATCTTGATCCTTGCTCATTTTAAATATGATAATGGCCTAATTCTTAGGCCTCTAGTTAGGACAATCGAATTCACTTTAGGCCCTGGGAAGTTTGGAAGCATTGTATCTGAAACTTAAAAAAGAAAAATTATTAATCAAATCAAAATGGCTACTACCACTTCAACTACTCTTGACTTCAACCACTAAACGACTGGTGAAATTATTAAATCATATTTTTTTTTTTGGAGAACAATTAAAAAAAAAAAACGCCCCAGGTAGTAAAAATTGCAGAACAATGCAAAAATATTATAAAGCCCAACTGAAGCGGAAAATATTAAATAACCGAAAAACGGGATCATCCCTACTAAACAAAAAGCTGCACGCCTCGTATCATAACATACCCCATTGTGTCTGGTACAACTATTATATTTAATAACGCAATAATGGATTATGAAAACCTGTCAGTTTTAATAACCGAGATTCACTATGACAGGCATTCACTACTGCATGTATAGAGACTCCAGAACAAAAAAAAAAAATTGCGATCGATGTGAGTTTACAACTCTAGTGGGGGTAACTTTGGGGGGTTTTTTGATTTTTCTGTTGGTTTTCAAGTAGGGGCACTAAATTTTAAAACTTAAATTCAATTTATTTGAAGTTCAAGTTTGTACCATTTGCACCTAGACACCTAAATCAAAAAAACAATATCTGAAATTTTGTTATTTGGATGAATTTCCATATTAAACTTGATAGAAACATCTTTGTCTAACTCATGCATTTTCTCAAGTTGTCTTTGTTAGACACACATATAATGTGAATTTCAACTGAAACGCACACATATAGGCAAATGCTGGTCTGCTATTGGTTGGTTTGCAGTTTGAAAGGCCTAGAGGAGGGGGGCATGGGATCCATTTTAGTAGTGAGGAGGGTTCTAAGGTTTTATAGGATTTCAGTTGGTAGCATTGAAATTCCCTTGAAAAATTGTTGAAAAAAATTGTGTGTAATTAGGGCCTGAATCTTACAGTGAGTGCTATAATGGCGCACAACTTTTTGGATACCAGTTTTCAAGGGAAAAATCAATGTTTGATTTTGGATTTAGGAATATTTTTGATAATAAAATTGATAAGGTAGGCATCTGAACTATACACATTGATTTTTTCTTAATGAAATCTTCATAAATAGTAAATTACATGATTTTTAATCCTAAATTACTTACCTTTTTCCTAATATCAATAATAAGGCTCCACTTAACTGGATAAAAATTGCTAATATTTCCATTAAATTTTGAATAAATCAAAATAACCCATACACTATCAGAAAAAGCATTAAATTATCTTTAAATCTGTGTTAAATTGAGTTTGATAGCTCACACACTTTTTGAACAATTGAGCTTCAAAGTTGAATTTTAGTCAAAAACTATAAACCTGGAAATATTTTCCAATACAGGTTTTTTAAATCCTAAATAAAAGCTACAATTCCTAAAAACTTTGATCCAACATCCAACATCAATCACGGATTTCAAGATATTGAAGCTAAAAAATTTGGATATAAAAATCCAAAGGGGATAAGTACCCTTTGAAAAACATGGAAATTATAATTTCACATATTTTTCGAATTTTGTCCTATTTTCAAATCTACCAATCCATGACTTTCATCAATTATATTCCTGTAAAAAAATTTTGGGCCGAAATTTAGTGGACAAGAAGGAAGCTGTAAAAAAATCAAAAAAGTGTCGAAATTGCCTACAACCAGGACACAGAGCACTTTTCTATGACACAGAGTAAGTAATTGTACAGGGTGTTTTTTTTATATATTAGGCCTATTCGGATTTGGAAAAAGGAGGGTTCTAAAACGGTTCAAAACAATCGCACAGTTTATTAATCAACAATATGACAAACCACAAATTTCAATAATAAACTGTGCGATTCTTTTGGACCGTTCTAGAACCGTACTTTTTCCAAACCCGAATAGGCCCATTGACACCTCACCTACAGCCTTTACCTTTACAAGTAGATAAAAGTTGTGAATACAAAAGTTGTAAACTATTGGCTAAATTTTTAGAATCCATGGTCAGAAACAAAAATTGAATGTCAGAAATGTGAAATATTGCATACTTTCAGCTTTTTTCAAATGGGACGCCCCATATTTGGTTCTATATTTTCGAAGAGCACAATTTCCCGATTCCAAAACTGTATAGTTTGTCTGTATTTGGTTGAGCCGTCTCCAACATATTTGGTTCTGAAAATTTTAAAAATACTATCAGATAAACCAAATACCTCAATTTTTACATGCAGCTTTCACCTGTAGAATGGTTTACAAAATCAGTAGTAAGATAGTATTTATACAATTTTTGGAGTCAAATATATGAGAGATTGTTCAATCAAATAATAGATCGGGGCATTTGTGCTCTTCAAGAATATAGAACGAAATATAGGGCATCCCATTAAAAAAAAGCTGGAAGCATGCAAAATTTTACATTTCTGAGATTCAAATTTTGTTTTTTACTATGATTTCTAAAAATTCAGTCAAAACTGTACAACTTTTGTATTTACCCTTTTTTTCTACCTGTAAAGGTAAAGGCTGTAGGTCGGGTGTCAATATATTTAAAAAAAACCGTGTACAAATAAGTGGATTATTGCGGAACTTATGGGTGGACCTCTGCGGGACGAGCGCAGCGAGTTCCGCAGCCATCTACTCACCAATATACTCTTGAACTGTTGAAATAAAACACTCACCTGAAACGTGTAGTTTTTAAACTAATGAGAATAACTCACATTAGTCACATTTGAGTGAGTCACGTTAGTACATATTGTAATTAAACAACATACTGATGAATAGATGGCTGAGGAACTCGCTGCGCTCGTCCCGCAGAGCTCCACCCATAAGTGACGCAACATTCTACTCGTTTGTACTTGTCATATTATATTGCTAGTTTGATAAAGTAACATTACTTATTCCTGTCAAATTAACAAGAAGTGGATAATCTCATAAATTCTGACTTTATATAATAAGTTATTGTTCAAGTATAGGGTATTTTTTTTTATACAGGGTGAGTTACTAAGCGCGCGGTGGTCCATATCTCCTATACTAACAGAGATCAGAGAAAAAACTAAATACAAAACTTATAGATATGATATAACATGAGTACTACATTCCTAAATTATTTTCCAGTATACAGGGTGGCCCAATAACTAGTAGTGACACAAAGTTATGTTTTTTTAAATGACTCCCCCTGTATATTATGACATTTCTGGATTCTGCGGAAAATTCTATACATATTTCATGTATAATGTCATATACCTATGTATCTTCAACTGTTTCAGAAATATTGACAGTTGAAAACTGACTTTTTTGCATCTTTGACAGACTGTAAAACCTGAACAGTTAATTTTACAAGAAAGCGGATTTTACATTTCTGTCTTTGTTTTTCATAAACTATCATTTGGCACCAATTTTGAATTCAATCCATGATTAAAAATTCTGCCTAAATTATTAATCTTCGGTTAAATTCAAAGTTGGTGTCAAATGATAACTTATGAAAATCTAAGATAGGAATGTAAAATCTATTTTCCTCTAAAATTAACCATGTAGGTGTCACAGTCTGTCAAAGATGCAAAAAAGTCAGTTTTCAACTGTCAATATTTCCGAAACAGTTGAAGACAGATAGGTATATGACATTAAACATGAAATATATCTAGAATTTTCCGTAGAATCCAGAAATGTTATAATATATAGGGGGAGTCATTTCAAAAAACATAACTTTGTGTTACTACTAGTACGGTACTTGCATGGAAAATTGAATTGATTATTGTTTATTGCAAACTGTAGGAAAACGAAAAAAAATCGTTACTTTTTTTTTTATTTCGCCCAAATATGATTATTTTGGAAGTTATTCAAATATTAAGTTTTGTATATATAGATATACTGAGCATGAGCAACGTCACTTATTTATTAGTGACGTCATAGGCAAATTTCATAGTGTTGTATCTCCGTTATTTTTGACTAAAAAGCAAAAGAAAAAACACGTGTTGACTTATTTTTCATGGAAATCAGCAATAAAAAAATTTGATGCAAGGAGCCTATTGAACTTCAAAGTTGATGTTTAATCCAAATTTTGTCAAAAACTTCAAAATCAATTTGCTCAAAAACTATAAATTTGGGAATATTGTAAATTACAGGCTATTCAGAACTTAGTGCGAGCTACAAATACTGGAAATTTTAATGCAATTGGCCCAAAAGTTACTGAGTAATTGAAGTTTAAATATTTTGAAATTAGAATTCAAATGAAAAATTCAATTTTTCTATTTTTTGGTTTTGCTCAATTTTGACTTCATGAATCGATAGAGCGACTCAAGATTAGTGGAAAACAACCCTGTTATCAATTCCAAATGGCCATTTTAAGCAGACACAAAAATAAAAAGAAAATCCTATTTTTGGCTCAGGAGAATTTCATAATCTTGATATGGTCATGAACAATTGCTCATATCTTTGTTAAATTTTGAGCACATTGAAATAAATTATATACCATTAGAAAGAGCATTAAATTCTCTATAAATCTATGTAAAATTCAGTTTGATAGCTCAAATAAGGAAGTAAGCCTTGAGATAGTTTCAACTTTGATTATACATATCTCTGAAACAATTAAAGCTAGTCGATTCAATCTGATGCCATTTTATAGAGAATTTAATCCTCTTCCCAACTGTATTTTCTTTTATTTTATTCAATTTAAAATTAATGGAATTGTAAGTGATTATTCACTAGCATGTCAGTGTCAGGATTTGGAAACATTTTTAGGACAAATATAAGCTTTTTTTGCTCACGAAAAAATACCTTCATTATCATAATTTGAGTGTTGTTTTCCACTAATTTTTCGATGGTAAAGTAAGAATTCACGAAAAAAATTAAATAAAAGAATACCTTACATTATAATGCCTATCTTTTATACTGCATGGGATTTAAATGGGTAATTTCCTTAGTAATGTGTTTTTAATTTTATTTTTATCAAAACCGAATTTAATTATAGCCCAATTATTGATCAA